CCTCCGGTTTTTCCCTCCACATTTCGAATCGACATGCATGAAAGTATTTGACTGGTACAGTAAAAATAGTTAGTTTTTGTTGTTTGGATAAAAATTGTATTACTCCGTACGAGCGATGCTCCAACTGTGTGACGCGCGATGACAGCCATTTGCGCCGCTCCGCGTAACGAGGTCGCGTCGCAGGGCACATACGTACGTTGAACTTCATTCGCACCGTACGTAGCCAACCGTGCTATTCGGAGGTGCCGGGGGGGGAGTTAAGAGCAGGCAAACTAACGATGTGTCGTCACGTGTGCGCACGCAGTCCCTGGCGTTCTCCAAACAGCTGTCACGCGACGCGGAGCGGGAGGCGCTGCATGCGGCCAACTTGCGCGAGTGCCAGCGGCTCATCGAGCGCTGGCAGTCCGAAGACTGCATGGCCGCCATCGCAGGCTTCTTCCAGAGCAAGGCCAAGCTGTAGGCCGCCGCCAGGGGCAGGGGGTGGGGTGAGGTGGCCGCTGTGTGCGGTGCCGTGTGGCGCCACTTCTCATCATCGCGGTGGTGATGGTGGGGTGCGGTTTAGTGGTTAGGCGTCGTGGTCATGTCGTGTTGTACCGCCGGGAGATTGCGTGTGAGTGTACCGCTTTGGAATGTGCTCTGAGTTCCATCCGTGAACGACGAATTGGTGCCGAATGGGACTGATTGTAGCAGCGTGCGTTTCTCAAGATTCCGTTTCGTAAACGCCCAATCAGCAGCTGCTGCTGCACTGTCAGGATTTGTTTAAAGAGTATTGGGCTGTGATGATGCACACATACATACATACATGCACGCATGCACGCAGACACACACACAGATAGGCACACGCGCACGCAGACACATGTACACGCACACATATAAGTACTCACCACACGTGCACACACAGAAAAATGCCTCCAATATAGCCTTAACAGATTGTTGGGGAAAGTGTTGTTAGCAAGCACCTGTGCAGACCAACCCGGCACACAAAGGGGTGGGTGGTCAGCAACACGCCAGGTCGGCCGTTTTTGTCTACCCATTGCTGATGTTTACTCACCATACCAGGTACTCATTTAAGGCTGAGTCGACCTTAGGGGACGTCCAGGACCAGGTTCAGATATTCATCACCGATGTTAGCCGTGAGCGGGAATCTAACTCGGGTCGCCAGTGTGTGCTAACCACTACACCGCTGCCCACATACGCACGCAGCACACACACATGCGCCTACACATACAAATCCACAAACACAAGATGCTGTTGGTGAGCAACGATTGCAATGCAATATAATTTTTTATTTATCTTACAAATGCAACTGCGTGTCTAGGCTCGACAGAACAGTGGGACATGGGCACGCTGTTAAGGCTGGAGCACCGCAACAACGGGGGGTGGGGTGGTCAGGACCATGCCCACACATAGCAGATATTAATTTTAGGCCGAGTCACACTAGGGGAGGCCCAGAATCGGTTCAGGTATCATTTCCCACTGATGCTAGCCGGTGCCGGGAATCTATACTCGGGCGATTGGGTGATTTTTAGTGAACTGCGCTAAACACTGCACTAGCAGCACGTGCTGCTCGACCGGGAGGATCGTGTCATAGTGGTGGCGAGACCTCTACTTGTGTTGTTGTAGACATTGAAGAGGACCACCTGTGCTCGCGCCAGTGTTGAGTGAGAGATTGAGTCGGTGAGCATGTAGGGAGAGAGAGAGCGAGCGAGTCGGTGAGTCAGTCCGTGAGTGAGTCTGCGAATGAGCAGGTGAGCGAGTCAGTGAGTGAGTAGTGATGCTGAAAGCGAGCGAGCGAGCGAGCCAGTGAGAGAGTGCACATCCATCGCACCGCTCTGTTCGGTTTGAGATCGAATTCGTCCTGGGTCCACTAATGGGGCATTAATTTCAGGGCCATGGCGTCCGAATCATCGTCGGGGAGACGTCCCGAGTGCATTTCCACTTTTTTCCATCGCCGTGTGAAATCGATTTGCGTGACTTTTTGAATGAGAATTTGCAAATAAATACAATTCCCTTGGTCCGTTGTGTGTCCGTGAGTGTCTTTGTCACGACGAGGTGCACCTAGCCTGGCACAAACGCAGTTGGTGACATCACCACCACTTTGGGTGGTGAACGGCAGTTGTGACCGCAAGAGTTGTTCAACGGGAGCACAGTGGCCTTATCGGAGGACAAATGACAAACTCGACACGGTCATTAACACTTCAGAAACCTAGAAGTGGATGGACTTGCCCTCACATTTTAAAATAATTTTTGTCTTTTTTAATCTGATTTAGCAGGAGATACGTCCGTCCGCGTGTCTCGCGGAGAGAGAAACGGCCCTCAGAAGCGGATATCCCAGAGCTGCCTCTTGAGATGCCCTCTTTCAAGTGGCGCTCTGCCCCACGCACAGCAGAGAGCAGCACACGTCCGCTCTCACTCTGCGTAGTTAATGCTCGTCTGCGTGACAGTCGAACTGATTTATTTGTTTTAACTCTCGGAACTGAAATTTAGCCACAAATTGAGCGATTCACCGTTAGCCAAACGAGTCTATGAATCATTGCAGTTTGGGGTTCATGTTTCCAGAATCATCGAGAATCATCACGCGTTTTTGGCTGCTATAAGTTTCCACACGGTAAGCCACTTCGCTGAGCTATCATTAGTGGCCAAGTCGCTATGAAACATTCCTGCTGCGGAGGGAGCTAGTAGAAACGTTGGGTTGCTCGGTCAATGGCCAGGGTCAACGGCAGCGTGGTGTATTCCGCAAATATGCCCGACTGTGAGGGTGGGCACAAGCCGGCGTGAATAGGTTAAACGTTGAGTTTTATAAGGGCACCACGGGGTGACTAGCCCCTCCCCACCCTCCCCACCCAGCCCCTCCTCACCCTCCCCTCCCCACCCAGCCCCTCTCTGCACGACGGACACAATAATCTCCTGTGGGCTGGTGTAACCAGGAGGTTCCTACCAGTAAAAGAGCTACATAGGTGATTGTCTTATATGTGTCTTCTCGTATGGATTGTATTTTGTATCGTGTTCATCTTTATAGTATGATTGTTGAACACGTAGGCTTTTGCGACCAATATAAATACACCGGTGTGCTGTACTAGTGACCATGTCACTAGTACGGCATGTTCTGTTTACGTGACAAACCTTACTAATTGGCTGTGTCGGGTGGTGGCGGGTTTAACAACATATTTACGCGGTCTAACCCAAAAACACTGTATTAAGTATGATTGTTAGTTCCATTAGCCCGAGTATAAACTTTTTCTTAAATGATAAATCACCCTTCGATGCATTCATTGCGTTTAAAGTGCGAAAGAATCAATTTTAGTTCATTATTAATGGTCACGTACCCAGAAAAAAACATATAGCGGCCTAATGTTTCATTCAAGCAATGACACGTGTCCACAGTACTGCGTCACGTGTCACACTGGTGCTGGTAAAGTGCAAACTCGTGTACATCAGGATCATGAGCCATGGTCTGTCTACTGCTGAATAAAGATATCCACATCACCGTGAGCCACGGTCTATCCACTGCAGAAAGAAGACCGCCTCACATCATCACTCACGGTCCCGCCATACTCCAATCTATCTCCTGCAATCTATCTCCTGCACACAAGTTGATCCATCTCACTCCATCTCCGCCGTGGTCGACCTCTACATCATTTACGCGATCTAACCCAAAAACACCTCTTATGGATGATATTGGTCGCGAAAGCCTACGTGCTCTACATCATTTTACACACTCCCAGCATAAACACACTTCCAGCACACACGCATACTCCCAGCGTAAACACACTCCAAGCACACACACACTCCCAACACACACTCTCAGCACGTACACACTGCCAGCACAGACCCCGGTGCCATGGGTTGATTGAGATAAATCGCAGATGCGCTCTACCTGTGCTCCCCACTATGCCAATTAGATGCGCTTTATTCTTCCAGTGCTCTGCTCGTTGTTGTGAGCGTCTCTTCTCCACCCTCCGCTGTTGCTGGAGGGCGGCTGCCTCCATCGGCCTTGTGGTGTCCTTCACGAGCCTCTTCCTCCTCCACAGAGGCCAATCTTGACACCTCTGATACCGGTCGTCGGCAAGTCCACTCAGCGCCGCATCCTCCCGTACCACATCAGCTCCATCTCTTCTCCAGCCCGTGCTGTGCCCGTTTACCCCCCTCGATCTGGCCAAAGAGAAGCTGCTTGGGCATGCGGTGGCTGGGCATGCGACGGCTCACGCAAACAGACGTTAGCACGATGAATCTGCGTGCATGTCATGAAGAGCCAGATTGCATAGCGCATGTACATGCACACAACAATTTTCAATCCACTGCTGGATGAAGGTCTCCTCTCCACGTGGTCTCGATCATGGAGATTATTTGACTTCCTCACCATGCTAGTCAAATACGATGTCAGCCCTGGCTGGGAATCCAACTCGGGTCGCCGGGATCATAGCGCGGTGCGCTAACCACTCGGCCGCCGCTCCCACCCCCCAGTGCGTTCTACGATTTCGGTGCGAATGCCGCCTCATCGCCTTTTCGTTCCCGACGCATTCTGGGTGATGCGCATCCACGCGTCCGCAATCCACCATCTCCACCCTCCTCATCCCCTCCCTCCCTCTCTCCATGCCTCTCTCTCAGACGCATTGCGAGAGAAGGGGAGGGGTGCGCATGGAGAGGAGGAGGGGAGGGGAGATGATGGGAGGGGGTAGGAGAGGAGGGGAGGAGAGAGGATGGGAGGATAGAGGTTGGGGCAAAGGAGGGGAGGGGGGAAGAGATAATGGGATGGGATAGGAGCACAGGGGAGGGTAGAGGAGGGGGGAAGAGAGGAGATGGGGAGGAGGAGGAGGGGAGAGGACGCGAGTCGCAAGGGATGGATAATCCCCTGACATTGGTTACAATGTTGGGCGCGTTATACAGCGTGGCACTGGAAGGGAGAGAGGGCGGGTGGGGTGGGGAGGGGGGAGAGAGGGTGGGACGATGAGTGGGAGGGCGCCTCCCTGGCCGCTATAAGAAGCCGGCCTGGAGCGCTCCCCTCCCAAGAAACGCGACCTGCATCGTCTCGCTCTGCACCACCACCGCGTCCTGCACCACCACCACCGCGTCCTGCACCAGTCCCCCAGCTGCCGCGCTCCCCGCCACCACCACCACCACCATGCGTGAGATCGTGCACATCCAGGCCGGCCAGTGCGGCAACCAGATCGGCGCCAAGGTGAGAGTGACACCTCGTCACCCCCACCACCACCACCGCCATCATCATCATTGTCACGATCATAACGCTCTCATTCGTATTCATTCAGATCATCATCATCCACATCGTCACGAGCATACACACTCTCGTCCATATTCATTCAGATCATCATCCTCCACATCATCATGCACATGGCACACATCACCATGCTCATCCTAAGAGACAGAATCCTCATCACCACCTCTTCATTCTCCCCCGACTGCGCTTGTTTATTCCACCACCTCCACGGTTCTTCTGTACCCTCCTCTTGCACGGATCCCACCTCTTCCTACAACCGCCACCTCCTCCTCGTTCACCTGCTCCACCTCCCATTAATTGCCCATTCTCCACCTCTTCCTAGCCTCCCCTCTTCCTCCTCCTCCTCTTCGAGGGCGTGGTCCTGGTCCTTCCTCGTGCGCCACCGAATTTCGCGACGTCAAGAAATCGTCTGATCGCTGATGCCGCCCACACTTCCATCCTAGTAGCATTGCTACCCGTATAGCCTCCTCCTCTCTCCTGTCAATCCACTGCTGGATGAGGTGGGGGGGGGGTGTGCTCCCCAAACCTGTGTGCGGGCCGTGGGAGAGTGATTTGACCATTATTCAGCGCGCTGGTGAGTCGAGAGGGGGGAGCACATGCATCGAATCTTGAAACAGCATTACGAGACTGGACCACAAATAAAACACACAAATAAATCTTCGAAATCGGACACGCGGGAGGGTGTGTCCTCACAATGCTATCGAAGGAGTTATCGTCTACGATGCTATTCGACGAGATCCATCCGATCATTCGCTGATTCATCGCCACTGCAATAGAAGCACCAATCAATGATAGAGACATCATCAACGTCACAATTATCGCTGTTACTCCGAAATATCGCATTATGTTAAACAACAACAAAACGTTGCCGCTGATGCTGCTTCTGAAGAAGGGTCATGGTTCGAACCGTCGCCAATGTGAGGCGTCCCTCTGCAGGGGCAGAGTTGGTTCGAGACGAAAGTGAGGGGGGGGGGTTGTGCGCACCGCCGCCTGCCCAATGCAGCATCACCCAAAAAAAAGAATAATAATAATAAAAACGAAACATTGTAATTACTAAATAACATTGCCATGATTACACAACGTTGGTGATAGCAGGAATTTAATGGGGGTTGTTGCATTCCTTGCAGGGAAATCGATAGATTCGGTGATTCATATATTTTTTATATATTTAATAAAAAAAATTGTGACGTCGATTTGCATAGATCCGCGTTTGATTTGAAACAAAGACATCACCCCCCACCCCCGTTCTCCACGCCCTGGGAGTGGGGGATGCCCCTCCCCTCATCCCGGCCTCCTATTTCCCCAGATATCGATTTTAGGAGAGGTTAATTTTATTGTGGTTTTTTTTCTCCCCATGCCTTACTTCCCGCATCATCTCCCCCAGATGGTCAATTTCATTTCTCCCATCTGTGCGGAATTTCAGGCGACAGTTTCTGCTATAAAAATCGCGTCTCGTGTTGCTTTTGAATAATTCTGGGGGGGCGGGAGGGCTTAAATCAAGCCATCGTTGTCTTAATAAAAATTCCGATTCTGTGTTTAATTGGAGCGGCTAAAGAATCATCAAGCTCGCTCTCCGCTTCCCGCCGGAGCCTTGCACTGCATACTAATAACGTGCAACCAACCCCCTGACACCCGTGGCAGACGCGAGCGAAATAAGAGATGAATAAATAATAAGCAGCCACATGATTTAATAAATGAACACATGCAGGCATTCTTGCAACTGTTCTTTCCGTAGATATATCAGCACACTGAGTATATATCGATAAAACAGCATGAAAATGGATATGACGAAGACGACGATGCTGATGATGCTGATGATGTTATTGATGCTAATGATGTTGGCGATTTTGATGAATATGGTATTGGTGATGTTGGTGACGCTGATGATGTTGGCGATGCTGATGATGATGACTGCGTATGCTGATGATGTTGTTGGTGATATACTGATGATGTTGGTGATGTTGATGATGATTTTGTTGGTGATGCTGATGATGACTGTGTATGTTGACGATGAATGCGAAATGAACGAGCAGATCGTAGCTGCCTGGCTGGAGTAACGTCACTGCTGGGGAGTGAGTAGCATTGATTGCATGGGAGGGGTGTGGGGAGTGCGAAGGGATGGGTTCGATAGCGACCGAGGGTCGTGACTGATGACAAGGGGGAGACGTTTCAGGGGCGTGGGTGGAGTTTGGAGGGTCGGAGGGAGAAGGGGGGGGGGCGCCTGGGTTGGGGTTTGATAACTGGGGTGAGAGGGAAGGGGGAGGCTCCGCCTACCACCCCCCAAGATCTCAGGGGTGGGGTCGCTTCGCCAGCTGCTGTCGAGGCATTGGGAGCGGGCAGGCGAGGGGGGGGGTGCAGGGGAGTGCACAGGCGGTGCAACTGCACCGGAGCCCAATGGGTGCCCAGGCCACGGGATACGTGCAGGAGTGGGGGAATTGGGGAGGGGAATGTGAGGGGGGGGGCCCAATGTATTGCTTGCACTAGGGCCCACGCCAACCGCGCTATATCTGTGTGCCCCCGTGTAGGGGTGCCGCTGTGCAGGAGGCGACGGGGGCATCCCCCAAGCCGTGAGGGGCTCTGGCGGTTATTTGACCATACTTCACCAGACTATCACGTACCCTTGCAAGCAGCCCCCAGCATCCGTTTAGTGCGGGGTGGTCGCCCATTGAAGCCGCAGCAGTCGCGACGATTTGGCCATCGGCACCGTTACGCCGAAGCGAAATGAGAGCATCATTCGCACCTTATTTGCGTCGTGGCTTTTAAAACGGTTATTTCGATACGAATCGATACAATTTCGATGCATCGCCGCACCAGCGTCAAACACGCCTCTGAGATGTGTCGTCACAGACTGTGGGTCGGGCTGGAGGCGTGCGGCGGGCGCTGGGAAGAGTGCCCAGGGGTGGGGGCTAGCGGGGGAGGGCAGGGGAGGATGGAGGGGGCGATGAAAATGGGGGGGAGGGGGGATGGTTCGGGACCCCTCCCACGTATCCGCAATGCGGACTCCACACTCCCTCCTCCCTCACCCCACCCCCCGCCACCGCCACCACTCCCATCCTCACCTCCTTACACCGCGCCCCTCTGCAGCGCTACGTGGGGGGGGGGGGGCGCTCGTTGAAGCGCTCAACATTCGCCGCTGCAATTCCGCTGCCTTGATGCGCGTATTGCTTCAGCCGGACCTCGCCTCCCAACGGCTTCCAGCGCCGCGCATCAAACGCCCACGGCCACTGCGCTCGCTCTGCCTTTGTCCGCCGAAGGCCGCCGGAAAAATCCCGCGACCCTAAATCCCCGACTCCGCGCGGGGTGTGGCGGTCGCGCCGACGCAGCGACGTCTCTCGGACCTGAGCGGACGAATCGATCGTTCGCCCATCGGTCGAATTAATTGGGCGAATAATTGCCGAGCGAGCGATCGAGCTGGTGAATGAACGAATCTTCGGACGAACGAATGAATGAATGAGATAATCATTGTCCGGACGATTCAAATAACGGGACCGTGTGACCGATTGCATCGATGATGAATGACTCGATGGAAATACCGACGAGTTTGTAATTGAACGCATTTTTGAGTCGTTGAATGAATTAATTGATGGCAAAACGAATGAAGACTGGGCGGGCATTTGCTCGTGTCGCACAAAGGTTGTACTCGGGCCACGCACGGAGACGCAGCAGAGCCAGGCACGCGGCTGGCGTGGTTATCGGTGCCCATAAATCTGAACCCTCGGTGTGGTGGGGATCACGTGGACACGTAAACATGATAAATACGTTCGATTCGTCATTTTTAAAAAGCCAATGATAATGGAACATGATTACAGATGATGATGGTGATCATCATACCGAAACCAATTGAGTAATGATGAGCGTGATGATGATTGCTTTGCCTGGCGAAGATGACGAGGAGTTGATGATGCGGCGTCAACTCAGCGCGAGTTCAACTCAGTCGTCTGCCCCCTGTCTCCTCCACGCCCCCCCCCCCCCCCCCCCCGTGTCTCCCCGTGTCTCCCCGTGTCTGGTGTCTTCACTCGGCCCTCTCGTGTCTCCCCGTGTCTCCCCGTGTCTCCCCGTGTCTGATGTCTTCACTCGGCCCTCTCGTGTCTCCCCGTGTCTCCCCGTGTCTGGTGTCTTCACTCGGCCCTCTCGTGTCTCCCCGTGTCTCCCCGTGTCTCCCCGTGTCTGGTGTCTTCACTCGGCCCTCTCGTGTCTCCCCGTGTCTCCCCGTGTCTGGTGTCTTCACTCGGCCCTCTCGTGTCTCCCCGTGTCTCCCCGTGTCTGGTGTCTTCACTCGGCCCTCTCGTGTCTCCCTCGTGTCCCCTCCACGTCTTCCCGATGCCTCCCCCTGTCTCCACGCCTGTCCCCCACCGTGCCCCCGCCCCATCGTCTTCAACCCCCCCCCCCACCGTGCCCCCCCCCCACCGTGCCCCCCCCCCCCCACCGTGCCCCCCCCACCGTGTCCCTCCCCCCCCACGTGCCCCTCTCTCCCCCACCATGTCCTCCCCCCCCCCACCGTGCAGTTCTGGGAAGTGATCAGCGATGAGCACGGGATCGACCCCACGGGCTCGTACCATGGAGACAGCGACCTGCAACTCGAGAGGATCAACGTCTACTACAACGAGGCGTCGGGTACGGCGCGGGGAGCCCTCACGGTCCACTCGGCCTCACCGCTCCCCACTGCGGCTGGGCAGCGTCGCCGCCTCGCGTCGCCGTGAACAGCGCGAGCGCCAGAGTCGGTGGCGCAACGGGCGTGGGGCCACCACGCAGGGGGTGCCTTGGCCCTGGCCCCCCCCCCCCCACTCTGGTGGCCAAAGCTACGAGTTGGGGGGCCCCCTTGACAACCTACATGAGTTTTGTTTCCAACAAGAGTGGAAAGAGAACAACGACTTATTTAGCACGCAGTTTATGTTCGTGAAAACGCTTTCATCCGCGTTCCGCGTTTACATTTAATTAATTAATTCACGCTCGGCAAATTGCGCATCGCGTGTCTGTTTCTATGTTGTCATCACCACCACTACCACCACCAGGGTGTAACCAGGTAGACACGCAGAGCTGTCCTAGCTGCATTGTGCCAAGATGGAGCACCCCCACAGCGTTAAATGTTCGAGACCGTGAGCGTAACGAGGACGTGATGAGGCAAGAGAAGACGCGCGATCTAGAACAGCCTCTAGGAGCGACTGTGCGGGACAAATCAATTATTGGGGCGCCACATGATCCGATTGCCGCACCCCCTGAGCTGATAATGTCGTTCCTACGCCACTGGCCCGAGTTTAATAGGCGCTCGCAAACAGAGCTTACATCTGTGGGGTAAACTATAGAGGAGGTGATTGACTTTGTATAGCCATCACCGTCATCATCACCGATCACGTTTTAAAGTAACCACGTTTTATTATCATCATCACCATCATAATAAACACGTGCCATCATCACATCCTTTATAAGCATAATCGGTAAGATAGTCAGCTTTTTTATCCCTTGTAATTGCGACGAGGCTTCGTGATGATGATGGTCAGAGCCAAAATGTGTTTGCCGATCGAGATTCAGAGAATGTTATAGGGAGATGGATTGGTGTATACACACGTGTGTGTGTGTGTACACGTGTGTGTGTGTAACTATGTGTCTGTATCTGCCTGTGTCTCTGCGTGTGTCTCTGCACGTGTCTCTGTGTGTGTCTCTGTGTGTGTGTCTCTGTGCGTGTCTGTGTCTCTGTGTGGGTCCCATGCGTATCTGCAGGGGGTAAGTTCGTCCCAAGAGCCATCCTAGTCGACCTGGAACCCGGCACCATGGACTCCGTCCGCTCCGGACCTTTCGGACAAATCTTCCGGCCCGACAACTTCGTCTTCGGTAGGCAACCAAGGCTGCTGCTCGCTTCCTTGATTTTGTTGAACCCGATGTGATCTCAGGAGACCAGGACAGGAGTCTCATTGCAAGAGTGACCTGGGGCATGAGTCTGTGATAAAACCACTTAATCGAGCAATAATTTGTGATCGCCAGGTCGCTTCTGAAAAATAGCTATATAGCTCAGAGGGCCTTGCCTGGTAAAATAAATATAGTTTAGTTTAGTGTGATCCCATTTGCGTAATTTTGCAATGTAATTTTCAATTTTTGAAAACTTGGACCATGACATCGGCACACCATGGCCTCCTTCCTCGTTCTGAAAGATGCCACGTGATCCTTAACGTCCACCGCGATGCAGACGGCGCAGAGTTATGAATCAGTGCGGCCTGCCAGAACCGAACCACGAACCTCCAAAACCGTTAGCTTCGTCGGAGGGTCCCAGGTTGTCCCATCCGCCCACTTCAATTTGTTGAGAAATCCCAAAGACAAAGATCCCTCGTATAGCCTGAACAGACTTTGTTGTTAGCGAGCACCTGATGAAGGCCACCACGGCACACAAGGGGGTGGGTGGCCAGCACCACACAGGGCTGCCTTTATCTCCCTCGTGACTACACACCGCACCAGGAACTCATTTGAGGCTGAGTCGACCTAGAGAAAGCCCAGGACCGGTTCAGATAATTGTCATTGATGTTGGCCGTGAGCGGGAATCGAACTCGGGTCGCCGGGTTCGTAGCTCAGCGCGTTAACTGCTACACTACCACTCCGCCCTGGGGGGGGGGGAAGCGAGATGCAATGACGCAAGATGCGCCGGGCCACATAGTGACCCCCCCTCCCACCCATTCCACCGCAGGCCAGAGTGGCGCGGGTAACAACTGGGCCAAGGGCCACTACACGGAGGGTGCGGAGCTGGTGGACTCGGTGCTGGACGTGGTGCGCAAGGAGGCGGAGAGCTGCGACTGCCTGCAGGGCTTCCAGCTGACGCACTCGCTGGGCGGGGGCACCGGCTCGGGCATGGGCACCCTGCTCATCAGCAAGATTCGCGAGGAGTACCCCGACCGCATCATGAACACCTTCAGTGTGGTGCCCTCCCCCAAGGTGAGCAGACTAGAGAACTACTCGGTGGAGGGCTATAGAACAGGAGGACTAAAATAATGTACAGGAGGATTATGGATTACAGCCCCAAAGGGCATAGCTCTGGAGGATGAACCCCGACCGCATCATGAATACTTTTCAGCGTGGTGCCTTCACTCAAGGTGACACCAGCCCTGCCACCCTGAGACTGAGGAACTGGAACTACACCTGGCACGAGGTCCTACACGAGTAGTTGCCCCAATGCTTGCCCTGACACGAGTTCTGAACCTAGACCTGACACTGACATTTACCCAGAATGACAATCGGTATTTATCCTGGAAAAATCCGATGAGCTATAAAGCTCTTTTTTTGCAGATGTCCAGTAGGGGCACGGGGTCATAACGTTACAATAACAAACAATGCAAAAACACGATAGGTGTGCAAAGTATAGGAAAGGTAAAAAAAACCCTAAAAGTTAATACAAAGAATAGATCAAGTATAAAAGTTCAAATTGCATAAGTACACCAATTCATCAAACTTGGGCAAGGCATCAAAAATAGTCCCAGGCGCACCAAGACAACACACAGTCCCCCTCAATAGAATTGCACATTAAAATGTAACTATTGATCACATTGACAAATCTGGTTATATCCACCACAAATGAGGTTCCAATGGAGTGTCCCAGTAGTCAAAAATTGGTAGAATTATAGGTTCAAAAATTAGCAAAAAATTGTTGGAACAATCGAATAGGAAAACATTATTTCCTTCTTTATTATTTTTTATTTTATTTTCTATCCACGTGACTTTATCGAAAGAACAGAGAATATTGTTTCCTTCTGTATAAAAACCCTATCCACACACACCCTCCACCCAGAAGCAACCACTGAATACTATCCCTGACTGATCCTAAACCATAACCTCTGTATGCGTAACTTCTACCTCTGCCACTTAATTGACACTAAACTCTAACCCTAACCAATACCCCTGCTTTAACTCTACCTCTATGAGTACCCCTAAATATAACCCAACCACGACTGCCCCCCACACCACCCTAAGTGTCGGACACAGTGGTGGAGCCGATCAACACCACTCACCCATCTGCCTACCAACCAACTCGCACACCCACCCACCGACCCACTTGCCCACCCACCCACTCACCCATCCACCCACCAAACCTCTCGCCCACCCACCTTTCAACCCACTTGCCCACCCACCAATCCACTCGCCCACCCACCAAACCACCTACCCACCCAATCACCCAACCACCTACCCAATCACCCACCCACCTACCCACTCGCCCATCCACCCATCTACCCACTCACCCATCCACCCATCTATCCACTCGCCTACCCACAAACCCATTTGCCCACCCCAGCCAGCTACCCACTCTCCCACCCACCCACTCACCCACCCACCCACTCACCCACCCACATACGTACTTTCTCACGCTCCCCCCCCCCCCCACTCTCTCCCCAACGCAGGTGTCGGACACGGTGGTGGAGCCGTACAACGCGACGCTGTCGGTCCACCAGCTGGTGGAGAACACGGACGAGACATACTGCATCGACAACGAGGCGCTCTATGACATCTGCTTCCGCACCCTCAAGCTCACGACGCCCACATACGGCGACCTCAACCACCTGGTGTCGGCCACCATGAGCGGCGTCACCACCTGCCTGCGCTTCCCGGGACAGCTCAACGCCGACCTGCGCAAGCTCGCCGTCAACATGGTGCCCTTCCCTCGCCTGCACTTCTTCATGCCGGGCTTCGCGCCGCTCACCAGCCGCGGCTCGCAGCAGTACCGCGCGCTCACCGTGCCCGAGCTCACCCAGCAGATGTTCGACGCTAAGAACATGATGGCGGCGTGCGACCCGCGGCACGGCCGCTACCTCACGGTGGCCGCCATCTTCCGCGGGCGTATGTCCATGAAGGAGGTGGACGAGCAGATGCTGAGCGTGCAGAACAAGAACAGCAGCTACTTCGTCGAGTGGATCCCCAACAACGTGAAGACGGCCGTGTGCGACATCCCGCCGCGTGGCCTCAAGATGTCCGCCACCTTCATCGGCAACAGCACGGCCATCCAGGTGAGCGGGGGGGTGGGCGGGCGCATGGTTTAAATAGAGCTCTCACGAATTATGATTGTCTCATTCACAAAGGCACAAGCATTCCAAAGCTTGGGAGCTCAACTGGCAAAAAGCCCGATCACCCCCGCAGGAAATGAGCCTTGACTTAAAAGAAGACGATCCGAAGATCTCAGGGGGCACCTCGTTTGGAGTATAGAGATGAGCCAGTTCCTGTAAATCATTCCGAGCTTTGCACCACCTCTCTACGTTACTTTGCGCACTTTTCATTCTGCGTGCTCCCGTTACCTCTGCCACTGTGCCCACTCCACGCGTCACAGCCTGTCAATGTTGCACTGACCGGGCTCGTTCCTTTCCTTCACACCGTATTTACGTATATGTGCGTGTGTATGTTGAACTTATTTTGCAACCATACGTAGTCGACCATATTAATCAGAGGGTTTCGTTACTCTTGGTGATGGTAACGGTGGTAGATGCCTTGATTTTATTTATTTTTCTCAAGGAAGTCTTGCCGAGTCTCGGGATTTCCTCTATGCGAGAGTTCCCGCTACAGTGGGATGTGGGGCCGTTGTTTCCATCGATGAGAGGTTTGGCTTTTTTACATGGTGGGATATTGGAAGAATCAGAGAGAAAACCCACCACGCGTACAAGCGGTTAATGTTCACATTTGTGCACAGATGGATTCAAGAAGCTGTTGGTCACCGTGCAGCTCCGTGTGCCTGCGTTCCCATGTCACATCTCCCCTGTACACCCATGACCCCACGTTCTCACAACCCCATGTTTTAATGTTCACAGGATCCCAACATTCCCACGCCCCTGTGTTCCCCCATGTTCTTATACTCCCCCTCTATATCACATGGCCCCACGTCCCTCTTTCTCCATGTGCTCATGCTTCCGTGTCCCCGTGTCCCTATGGCCCTGCCTGTAATGCCCTCCTGTCCTCATATCCTCATGTCTCCATATCCATATGTTCTTGAATCGCCATGGCCTCATGTTCCCATGTTCTCAATCTCTTTGCACCTGTTGTACCTTCAGGTCATTAAGTCCTTATGTCCCCATGCCCGTGTGGAGGCGAGAGTTGTTGGATCACACAAATGTCACGAAACGTTTTTATAGCAAAAATGTGGACACCAACTGTTCCGTCTGTGTGGGATAGGGTGTTTCCCCCTGGTATGCGTGGGTTTTCTCTAGGTGCTCTGGTTTCCTCCCACATGAAAATAATCATTAATTGCCCAATAACACCTTAATATATATAGAGGACCGTAGAGCTTGGGCAATTGTTGGCACCTGCTCATCATGTGGCTGCCCTCTTGCTTGTCTGTGGTTTATTGTGCCCCCAAGTCACTATGGCGAAATGTTAACTCCCTCGTCTAGTATACAGGAGGTTGTGGATTCGATCCCAACAATAATGCCTGTATATTTGGTGTTTGCATGTCTCTCTCCTGGTGGTCACTTGTATTTTTCTCAGGGTCCTCCGGTTTTCCCCTTCACATTTAGAATCAACATCACACATTTAGAATATTTATGCTGCTATAAATGTCTACGTGGTGATGATGATGATGAAATAGAGCTACGTAGCTCATTGGGCCTTACATGGTAAAATAAAAAATAGATTTAGTAACTTTAGAATCATTCTCTCTCTACGACTGTGAGCAAATACTGTTCAGCGGCCGCGTATGACGGGGCAGCGGGCCCGCACCCATGACACCGAGTCCCTGTAACCCCCCCCCCCCCGTGTGCCCCACAGGAGCTGTTCAAGCGCATCTCCGAGCAGTTCACAGCCATGTTCCGCCGCAAGGCCTTCCTCCACTGGTACACGGGCGAAGGCATGGACGAGATGGAGTTCACCGAGGCGGAGAGCAACATGAACGACCTCGTCTCCGAGTACCAGCAGTACCAGGACGCCACGGCCGAGGAGGCGGGCGAGTTCGAGGAAGAGGAGGGCGAGGACGATGAGGAGGCCTGAGACGTCGGGTGACCTCGTCGCTTGCCGGGGGTGATGAAATCCATGGAAGCTTCCTCGTCGCTCTCTCCCTTTCTCTCTTTCTCTCTCTCTCTCGATGGTTCCATTTGCGCTGCCCAATGGATTTGGTTTGGGGTGTGTGTGTGTGGGTGTGAGTCGCCATGCTGGTGGTGAAGCTGTCATTCTGCAGGTGGTAAAAATTGTCATTCCGCTAGTCAGGCTGTCATACTGGTGGGCTATCAGCCAACCCCGGCAGTCAGGTCGCTGTGCTGGTGGCAAAGCTGCCGTGTTGGCGGCCTTGCCACCACGCCGGCGGTCAGATCGTCGTTGGTCAGATCAAACAGCGGGGGAATGCCGTTATGGAAATCGAAGTTAAGCACGGTCGGCATTTGGACAACAAGCGGGCACTGCGTGCTGCGCTACAAACATGGCAACCCAAGTTAAATTCCCGATCACGGCCAACACCAGTGATGATTATCTGTATCAGTCCTGGGCCTCTCTTAGGTCGACTCAGCCTCAAATGCGTTCCTGGTGCAGTGTGTAAACATCGCCACTGGGAAGACAAATTTGGCCGGGCATGGTGCTGGTCACCCACCCCCTCCTGCGCCGTGCCGGCCTTCATAGGGGCTTGCTAACAGCACTTGTCCCAACAGCCTGTTCAGACTATATAGGGGATCTTTGTCTTTGTTTTATTTATTTATTAATACATCGCACGCACATACACACAGTGAACACTGAGATTCTCAATGAGGGGCATCGTTGTAACTTCCCCATATATCAGCGATTGCTCACCGTTCCAGGTTGAGGAGGCAACTCCAAACGTCACCTCGGGGTTTCCATTCTCAAGTAAATTGTATGCAAAGGCAGAACTGGTCTGTTGTAGTTCAGCTCTCGTGCATTCACCACCACCACCATCATCATTCAGCCTCACATTCCAAACGTCCACCTGCATGGGGTTTTTATCACTGGAGACTGAAAAATCCGGGTTGGAGCTTTTGTAGCCTCCGCTACCTGAAACCACGCGGTGCCGATGCCATCGACGGGACCTCCCTGACGCTTTTGAAAACTGGAATACGCTTTCTCAACCACACTCTGGAAGGAAATCGAACAAGCAACATTGGTCAGCGCAAACCTCGGTGTGGAGGGAAGGAGGAGAGATGACTGAGAAGCTTCCGCGGATTCTCGTGAGCTAAGCCACAGGCCGTCATGTATTAAACACGTGTAACAGCGCATGCGTATGTGAGCCAGCACGTCGTCGTCGTCATGACATCATCATCGTCGTTATCACATCATCATCGCCACGTCATGCCACTCTATGTTGTCATTGCAAGAATTTCACAACATCGCATCATCACACCATTGTCACGACAAACTGGCGGCCCGTCTCGTCACATGATCACGATAGAATTACAACACAACACCATATTGTGACACCACTACCACCACGTTGTCACCATCATGACACCATCGTCACAATACGCCTACCACATCATCTCGTCAACCGCATCAGAATATACTGCCACATCGCATAACCTCGACACCCAGATCAGAATCGTTCATTATCCTGGAGAAATCCGATGACCTATAAAGCTCTTTTTCACAGATGTCCAGTAAATAACTGCACTACCACATCCATCATTGCAGCATTGTCTTCATCATCACGACTTCGTGTCGCGAGGCGTTAATGGGTCCACTACCATTAACCAACCTTTCACTGTCAATTCACTACCACTGTTGATCATTTAATCACTGCTATCTAATTATCATCACGCAGTGTGAACCACCATACCCAGGATGGACGAGGGTTGACCATGCGTCGACCCTTCACTTTTAATCGACAAGTGACCCATCTTGCCGTGCCTCCTCCGCCCACTCCTCACCTCATCATCCGAACACCGTCTCTCTGCCGAACGGGCACACACACGTGTCCAGTTAAAGTCCGCGGACCCAGACCAGGGATCCCATCCGCCGGTGCCGACCTGAGTTGGCCAAAACATTTAGTCGTGTTCTTGCTTTAGGAAGGGATCAACAAACCGTCGTGAGCTATTCGGACGCATGCCACTGTCAACGGGAAGAGGCTATCGCGTGTTCAAACCCGTTGGGAAGTTATTATCCCCCCCATGTTTACAGCCCTGATTTGGTAGTGGCGGTACCACGTGGTTTGTGGACCACAGGGGCCCCAATTGAGAACGTGTTAATACTGTGACGACTGGGCTCTGTGTAACCTCTGCGGAATAGTGCTACAGAATACAGAGCAACGGATGCAAATGTTGCAACGTCGAACACGGAGCTGATGTCGTTGCTATTCTTTTTTTGTAATGATGCACAGTTGGTAGATTTGACCGCCAACCATGTACACACAGTTGGTCGTCGCCAATCGTGTAATGAAGGGAGTCCGGAGGCCACTTCTGGACAGGAGCAACTAAAGGAGTGAAAGGAATGGGAGACCATGGCAGACAGCGAGAGAGAGAGGGGGAGCCTCGCCCAGAAGTGGGAAGTTAGAGGCTCGAGTCGTCGCCGCTCTGGTGACCGGGAGATCGTTGATCGATGTTCGGTCGCCGGGGCCGGCGGTGGCGTGAGTCGTGATTTCTCGCTCAAACAGAGTCGGTCGCGTGAACGAAGGCTGCTACCATCTTCCGCTCCATTTACGGACTGAACAAAGAACGACCAATACACTCCTGGCCCTTGTAAATAAACACTGCAATTACCTGGTCAACATGATACGTTGGCACGTCCACCAACAAGGTTGACATGGTTTTTTGCCGAGTAGCCCTACCACTGAAGTTTTGCCAATTTAATTGGCACCAACGTAAACTCTGACCCCGGGTCTAATTCCCCTCTCCTCCCGCCGTTTGGTCCCCCTCATCCATGAACTCTGCTTCTGTCGTCGCCTCCTCCGGTCTGTTGCCACGAACTTTATGCAAAGCATTTGTCGAGGTCTATGTTGATATCATTTGTCAGTGTCGCATGCGCTGTGGTGGTGCATCGATGTGTTCTTTGTATTATTTTGCGGGACGAGCTTGCGCGGACACGTACGTCACTCGCGACGCGTGCTTTCTAACGCGTGCTTTGTTACGCGTGTCGGAGTGCGAGCCAACAAGAATAAAACAAAAAAGCTGCCAACTTTATCCTCGCCCTCCGCCCGCTCTGTGTGAGAGTGTCCCCAAGACTTGAATCGAATATCATAATGGGAGCCGCCCCTGCGCACTACTCACTCGCTCTCGTCGAGAGAGGTCCAGAGGACGACTCAGATGCGCGAGGAGTAATCACAGACGGGCAGGGAGGCAGCAGACACGCGGTGACCCGGTGCCAACAATTGCCCAAGCTTTGCAGTCCCCTCTTTATTAAGATGTTTTCAGCCAACTAATGAGTGCACCCGGAGAAAATGCACGCGTGCAAGGGGAGGAAACACTCTATGCCACACAGACGGAACAGGTGGCGTCCACATGTTTTGCTGTACTGCCTGGTCCTGACGATCTAGGGTACGTTTGCCTCCTCTACGCCCACGAGAAAGGCGACTTTCACATCTCCGTGTGGTGATCCGCCAACCCTCGCCGCTGTCTCCACAGTGCTGGAGTACAAGCCACGTGCAGCGTCGCCACCACCGCCGGGATTCTGTTGTAAGGGATGTCAGGGGAAGGATTCCCACCAATAGGAGGGGGAGTGGGACGGTGACAGGGGAAGGGGGAGAAGCGAGCGAGGAGATATAAGGGAGAGGACGGGCGGGAAGAGGGGGATCTTGGCAGGAACGAGATTGAGATGGCTGGGGACAGGTGTGGACTGGAGGAAAGGAATAAAAGACGAACCCCTCTTCAACCTTGTGTCGGCTCTCCTACACTGTTACCACTGTGATCTCGACGTACATGTGTAACGGGTTCCGGAGACACTTGTAGATGTAACTTCTTTATTACAATACAACACTCCAACAGTCCTGATACTCTGTTACAGCCTAGGTACACAGCCTAGCTACACAGCCTAGATACTCTAGATACTCTACTCTGGCTACGCTCGCCCTCACAAGGTCGTAGAGTCGGGAGTTCCAGAGTCCCACCACTGGCTCTCACAGCATCCCAGGGTCTTCAGATGGCTGGTCGTGGGTCTTGAGTCTTGAGTTACAACTGGGCCCCGATCGTCCAGGGAGCTCTCCTTTTATGCCTGGTCCAACGAGGGGTGGGGCCGTGTGCGCCACCAGACATCCCACAGAGCACACGCAGCCCCCCCCCCCCCCCCCCCGTTGGCGGCGCCTAGGGGATTAAGCGCCTGGGAACTCAACGCCTGGCGCCCAGAGGCTTAAGCGTCTGGACTCGCCTGGGATCCCAGAGCCCCCAGCAGCCCCTCCCTTCTTATGTCACTACACATGCACGTCAGGGGTTCTCAAGAGTGGTCTCGCCGGTTCGATTCGATTTTTCGGCGCGGCGGTTGGCACAATGGTGCAAGTTTATTAAATCTCCCTTCCACCGCTCTGTCCACTCAGCATGATGTATCGGTATGCCATAGTTGGTGGATTTTTCACTGGGATCCTCCGGTTTTAGCCTCCACATTTAGAACCAACATACCGTTTGTAGTTTTTGGCTGCTATGCATTTCCACACGATTCGCCCACTCTATTGAGCTATCATGTGTGATGGCCAGGTTGCTTCTGGAAAAGAACTACGCAGCTCAGTGAGCCTTACTTGGTACAAATAAAAAAAAAGATTTTGTCAATCGGCAAGTCACCGCGTGCGGTGGGGTAAAGCGTGGGTACTCCCACCTCTTCCCAGACATCTGGCGTGGTTCCAGATATTCGGGGCCGGAGACCCCGGTGAATCTGCGCTGGCCGTATCCCCCTTGCACGAGGCTTGGGGACCGTCCATAAATGACGTCATGCACCTGGTGGGGGGGGGGGGGTCAGACATTTGTGACGATGTGTGACGAGGGGGGAGGGGGTGAGAAGTGTGACGTCACATCCAAATGCGCAACTTTAAATAAATATAGACAACACGTTCTACTTAATTACATAGACTATTAAATAATATTTTCTCCTACAACATCAGAGTGCAGCGCCACATTAAATACGCACTACAATGACAATATCATCTTCTTGGTTCTTTCGGTAAAGTCACGTAGAAGGGAAGTAATAAAATAATACAAATAAAACATTATAAAATAATTCTCACGACGTTTCGGCCACAACGCAAGCAGCCGTCCCCAGGTGAAGAACATGTCTGTCGATAAGACAGAGTCTGAATGACACGTCCTAGGCTTGGAGCGTCTATTTAAGCTGGGAGGGAGGAGAAAAGAGCGCCTTGACAAAAGAATTTGCATATGAAGAGGAATTTAGCATATTTATGGGAAATGCAGAAATGCGGGGGGGTTTCAAAGTCATATTATGCCCATGCATTATGCAGAATTAGGAGCATCAAAGGGAGGGGGTAGGGTAGTGTAACGGGTTCCGGAGACACTTGTAGAGGTAACTTCTTTATTACAATCCAACAGTCCTGATACTCTGAAACAACTCCCAGGTATACAGCCTAGGTACACAGCCGAGATACACTACTCTGGCTACGCTCTGGAACTCGCCCTCACAAGGTCGTAGAGTCGGGAGTTCCAGAGTCCCACCACTGGCTCTCACAGCGTCCCAGGGTCCTCAGATGACTGGTCTTGGGTCTTGAGCTACGACTGGCCCTGATCGTCCAGGGAGCTCCCCTTTTATGCCTAGTCCCCAACGAGGGGTGGGGCCGTGTGCGCCCCCAGATATCCCACAGAGCACACACAGCCCACCCCCCGTTGGTGGCGTCAAGCGGCTTAAGCGCCTGGGCCACCCGGGAACCCAACACCTGGCGTCAAGAAGCTTAAGCGTCTGACCCGCCTGGGCACCCAGCGCCTGGCGCCAAGAGGCTTAAGCGCCTGGCCCGCCCAGGGTCCCAGAGCCCCCAGGAGCCCCTCCCTTCTTATGTCACTACATTACCCCCCTCTGCGTAGCCTCCAGCTGACCCGGCTGTCAAAAAAAATACAATTGTACAATAAATTATTTGTTAACCATCAGAATGAGTGTGTGACAAATCAAGAAAAAGTAAGAGGAAGTTTGATATAGCGTGCACTTCCCTTCTGCAACACCATATTAACACGGGAACGGCTGCCCCCATTTGACAGAATCTGTATAGGTTAAGCCCGGGGGAAAAGGAAAGTGTGCAACTGCCGGTGGAGGAAATGCTGGCGGCAGATATTATTTCCCCCTCGACCAGCCCTTGGGGCGCTCCCGTGGTGTTGATAAAAAAGGCTGATGGTATGGTGCGGTTCTGCGTAGACTTCCGCAAGTTGAATAAAGTGTCAGTCGCAGATGCGTACCCATTCCCCCGTATGGACAACTTGTTGGATGCGCTATCAGGGGCCAGATTTTTTTCCATCTTAGACCTTTTGTTGAGATATTGACAACTTCCCCTGGATGAGTCATCTAAACCAAAAAAGGAATTTAGAAAACCTCAAGGATTGTACCATTTCAACTACCTTCCAATGGGCTTACACTCAGCCCCGGCCACCTTCCAGAGGTTGATGCAACTAGTACTAGCGGAGTTGCAATGGGACTCACGTCTCATTTACCTTGACGAAATTATTGTGTTTGGCCACACTTTCGAGGAACATTTGCAATGGTTGCATTCCATGTTGTTGAGGATACAGTCGGCAAACCTTAAGTTGAAACCTACAAAATGCCACCTGTTGCAAACCTCTGTGCGATATCTGGGTCACATCGTGGGCGATTCCGGAATAGCAACGGATCCCGACAAGACAGCTTGTGTGCACGATTGGACGACTCCTCAGTCGGTGGGGGAGGTGCACAGTTTTGTCGGTTTAGCGCCCTATTACTGAAGGTTCATTCCGCAGTTCACGACAATCGCTAAGCCTCTCCATGCTTTAACGGCTAAATGCCAGATGCTTAGGTGGGAGAGGAGGAGGCTGCTTTTGTTACACTGCACAAAAGCCATGCTGAAGTGCCTCCCCTGGAGTAGCCGGATTTTTCCCTACTGTTTACCTTAGATACAGATGCCAGTGACACGGGTCTTGGGCTGTCCTGTCCCAAGTTAAGAACGGCGTTGAAAGGGTGGTAGTGTATGGGAGCCATGTCCTGTCATCCGCGGAACGATGTTACTGCGTGACCAGGAGGGAACTCTTGGCCATGGCGCACTTTGTGCAACAGTACAGGCCTTACCTGTAAAGTACGGAATTCGTGGTCCACACGGACCATGCGGCCCTTCAATACTTCTTGCGTGTGGATCAACCTTCGGGCTAACTGTCACGTTGGTTGGAGATATTACAGGAATTTTCATTTCGGGTGATTTAACCAAAAGGGTTGCGGCATAGTAATGTGGACGCATTATCCCGAATGCCGACGGGGGGGGGGCTGTGCTTGTTCAACGGGCGCAGGACGATGTAAGCCACGGGACGCGAAGCCATCCGGGGTAGTGGCGTCAGTGGAGAGCGCAGCACCCATTGGTAACGTTGCGCCGGTAGATGGAATGCTGGACCTCACGCTTGCCGAATGGGGTCGGTTGCAAATGGATGACGCGTCCTTGTTGCGACTCTGGAGGCGTGCGGAGCAGGAACTAACGAACCCTAGCTCGCCGAAGTCCTCAAAGATTGTGCTGAGGTACGGGTTTCTTATGAGATGGGATGAGGGGTTTCAACGCTATGGCCTGGTGGTTCTTACGGTTTTACGGGGTGCGTTGACTCGAGAGGTACACGAAACCAAATTATTACATCTCGGCGTTCGGAAGACGTTACTGACGTTGCAAAGGAGGGGTGTTGTAATGACAGTGCGGGGCGATAGCGGACGGTGGGGCTCCCCGGGACCATGGTTACTAATGGAAGGGTTACCGGGACCATGGTTGCTAATGATAGGGAAGGACGAGTTAATAAGCATTCCTTAGATGGGAACCAATTGGATTAAGGCATAGGGTGTGGTCGGGCCCGGCGAGGATAAATAGCAGTGTGAGTGAAGGTTCAGGGCACTGCTTGGTGTGGGGGAACTACGTCGTCGTGATCTGGCCGTCTTCATCGTCCGCGAGTTGTTTTACAAGAAGAAGTTATGTTATCCCAGAATCGTGTTGTGTGAAACACCCGTGTGTATATAGTCACTCGTAGTTGCACGTTGAGTTATTGGTTGATATTTATTTGATAATAAACAAACAGAAGAGACGACACCGTCTCTGCGAGCAATATTACATATGTGTCAGTCGATATGTGTGTACGTCGATGTGTATATGTGTGTGTGATGAGTCCATATGTGTGTGAGTCGATGTGTGTGTGTACGTTTATGTGTGTGTGTGGGGAGTGGTAGTGTAGCGGTTAGCGCGCTGCGCTGTGAACCCGGCGACCCGAGTTCGATTTCCGCTCATGGCCAATACCGGTGATGGTTATCAGAACCGGTCCTGGGCCTCCCCTAGGTCGACTCAGCCTAAAATGAGTACCTGGTGCGGTGTGTAAACATCGCCACTAGGGAGATAAAGGCGGCCGGGCGTGGTGTTGGCCACCCACCCCCTCGTGTGCCGTGCCTGCCTTCATAGGTGCTCGCTAACAGCACTTGCCCCTACAGTCTGTTAAGGCTACACGGGGGATATTTGTCTATTTGTGTGGGGAGCGGTAGTGTAGCAGTTAGCGCGCTGCGCTATGAACCTGCAACCCGGGTTCGATTCCCGCTCACGGCCAACACCAGTGACAATTATCTGAACCAGTCCTGGGCCTCCCCTAGGTCGACTCAGCCTAAAATGAGTACCTGGTGCGGTGCATAAACATCGCCACTGGGGAGACAAAGGCGGTCGGGCGTGATGCTGGCCACCCACCCCCTCGTGTGCCGTTCCGGCCTTTATAGGTGCTCGCTAACAGCACTTGCCCCTACAGTCTGTTAAGGCTATACGGGGGATCTTTGTCTTTGTGTGTAACTCCATGTGTGTGTATCTAAAGTCGATGTCTGTGTGTGTGAGTCCATATGTGTATGTGTGTGTAGGGCAGTGTGTGTGTGTGAGTCGATGTGTGTGTGTCAGTCGATGTGTGTGCGGGGGTCCATGTGTGTGTGTAAGTCCACGTGTGTGTGTCTTAGTCGATATGTGTGTGTATAAGTCCGTATGTAATTGTGTGTGTAAGTGCATGTGTGTGTGTGAGTCGGTGTGTGTGTGTAAGTCCATGTTTGTGTTTAGTTCCATGCGTGTGTGTGAGTCGATGTGTATTTGTAAGTCAATATGTGTGTGTGTGTGTGTCAGTCGATATGTGTGTGTTAGTCAATGTGAGAGGCGCCGAGGGTGTTGGAGGCCTTGGGGGGCAGGTCTTGGGAGGCTTCTTGAACGCCGGGCTCCAGTGAGCAGCCAGAGATGTCCTCTTCCTCAACCGTAGGAAGCTGTGGACAAACCGACCCATTAGACACTACACACAACTAAGTACATATACCAGCTCAACTGTGATTACACACAACAATCAGCAACCCCTACTGGCAGACAAATGCCAATTTCACGCCAGGTGCTGAGTCACCTTGTGCCCACAGGGACATCTGTCATTGAGGGTGCCCTTTCAAACGTGTTGAGATGAGATGTGATGTAAAGCACTCTGAGATGCCCCGGTGTACAGAAAGGTGCTAAATAATTCTTAGCGTTATCATTGTTTACAGCAATAATGGAATTGTGTCTATAGATAGATAATCTGTATTTGTAAACAGGGACCATGACGACTTCACGAAATGGTTAGACCAGCTCATCATTATCATCATACACTGAATCGTGTGTGTATGAATATATTATTTACGTTAAACACAAATTATATACTTGTGTGTGTGCGACGCACGAGTGCTGTGCGCTCACCTCCACCTCGCTCTGCAGACGCTGCTGCTCTGAGTGTGCGCTCTTCCTGTTGTCGCGGTAGGGCGCCAACTCGGCGTGCAGCTCCACCACCACACGTTCATACCACTGAATCTCTGCCTGCAGAGATTCCAGCTGCCAATTCCGGTCAATGAGCTGTGTGGGCCACGGGCAAACAGCGGCAAAGAAACACAAAAGAGCATTTCAATAATTGCGTGCGGCTATTGTATAACATACAGATGCAACAACACACACATAGAATCGAAATCTTTATTTATAATTGAACAATGTATTGAACTGTAAAGCTCGTTTACACAGATGTCCATTCACCACCTATGACCAAATGACCAGAATGCACCCAATCATCTCAGATCTTGAAAGAAAAGCATTGCTGAACTTCCATAGTGCTTGGATGGACGACCACCATCTATACAACCCAAGATAACACCGATAAAAGCCCACATATATGAATTAACCCAAAAGCTGCATTAAAATGTCAGATTAAGATCGCTTTCCAACCAAAAACAGGGAGGGAGATGCACGTAGCAGAGGGGAGCAGATGGTCTAGTAGTAGTAGGTACTTCTATTAGTGGTGGGATAGGGGGTCGTAACGTGGTACAGTCCCTAAACAGAGGATGCTCCGTAACCCAGTATGCATCCATACTGTACAACCATCAGTATGAAAAAGAAGTGGATACAGGCAGTCATCAACTTACGGACACCCGACTTCGGAATACCCGACCGACGAACCTGTTTCCATAAAATTTTCGATTACCATTGACTTAAAGCGCCAACTCGCACTTGCAAACTGAACCGTGGAACTATTTTGTTCAGTGCAGCGATCCTCCACGAGATACCATGAGTCAGCCTTGTGCTGGGAGTGAATGTGGGTGTGCACACCCACATGTGTGTGTATGTGAAAGTGAGTGTGTGGGGAGCGGCACTGTAGCAGTTTGCGCGCTGCACTGCGAACCCAGTTCAATTCTCACTCATGGCCAACACCAATGACAATTTTCTGAATCGTTTCTGGGCCTCCCCTAGGTCGATTCAGCCTCAAATGAGCACCTAGCGCGTGTGTAAACATCACCACTTGGGATACACAGGTGTGGTGCTGGTCACACATCCCCTCGCATGCCATGCCGGCCTTCATAGGTGCTCACGAACAGCACTTGCCCCAACAGTCTATTAAGGCTATACGGGGGATCTTTGTGACGCCGAATGCTGTGCGTTCACCTTCGCCTCGCTCTGCTGTTGCCGCACTTGCAGATCCTGCAGCTGTGCGTGCAAGCTCTGCAAGTTTTCATGGGATGGCACCAGCTCAGCGTGCAGATCCGCCACCACGCGTTGGTAGCCCAGAATCCCCGCCTGCAGGGATCCCAGCTGCTTGTTGTTCTCAATGAGCTGTGTGGGACACGGGCATAAAGCAGCAGAGGGATACGGCAAAGTATTTTAATGACTGCGTGCAGCTACGATAGAACATTCAGATACAACAAAGACATACAGAACCAGTGTCTTTATTTTAAATATAGGAATCTGAACAGCTATGAAACTCTTTTTCACATATGTCCATACACCATACCACCCGTGACCAAATGACCCAAAAGCACGGTTTAACTTTGATAGTAACACCTATAAAAGCCCATATATATGAATCAACCCAAAAGGTGCATTAAAAGGTCAAATTAAGGGATGGGATCGAGATGCACGTAGTAACATGGAGATTGTCTAGTAGTAGTAGGTACTTCTAATAGAGGTGGGATGATGGATTGTAACGTGGTACAGTCCCTAAACAAAGGTTGTTCAGTAACCCACGCGCATCTATACATCAGTGTGAAAAATAAGTGGATGTAGGCAGTCCTCGACTTACGAACACCAGACTTACGAACATTCGCACTTATGAACCTGCTTCCATGAAATATATATCTTTTTTAACATTGACTTTAAACGCGAACTCACGTGTACACAAATAGAGGTGTGGGGCTGCAGCTTAAGCTTATGGTTACCTGGTGCTGCAGCCCGTCGATCTGGCCGCGCATGAAATTCATCTCCGCATCCGCGTGATGAACTGTGTACTGCAGCCGCACCACTTCCTGTGCCGTCGCGGCCTCCTCTGCCCTGGAGACTTCCAGCTCGGCCTTGATGAACTCCATCTTGCCCCTGTACAACACCACAAGGAGGCAGCACGGCGTCAAGCACGGGCACTCCCACGCTCGCTAAGTCGCTCGCTCACTCGCACTGAGAATCCAACACCGAACCGTGGAAGAACTCACATTGCACTGTCCCATATATCTGATCTAATTGTATATTTATAGAGCGAATTCACTCAAAGCGTTTGACATAGTTTAAAAAAAGTGACAGAATTTAATAATTTAGATGGCAGGGGCATACAAGGGTTAAAGAATGAGAGACCGCGACATAGGGTACTTCGGGATCACGAATGGGTAGGGGAGGTAAAGGAAACAGCGGGGCAAGGGGAGTGAAGAGAAAGAGAATGGGCATTCGAGAAGCGGTAAGCTGAAGGCCGTGGTGCGTATGCGCAGATCACCAAATCTCAGTAAAAGCAATTGCATGGCCATGGTGCGACTGGCGCTACAATCAGAGCAGCCTGGGAACTTTTTTCAAATGTGGATTGTATTACAAATTGTTCCTTGATTTTCTACTTTCCCGTATGTCCATCACTCAATCTCAGTCACCTTATGTTCTGCTTTTCGGAAGCACACGCTCGCACACGCGTGAACTGAACACCTTGGACTTGCAAGTATTTGTCCTTATCATGCCATGACTCCTTGACGTGACTCTACCGCCATCCCACCACCGCTCACCTCTGCCAGCTCGCTACGGACCGCCATTCCATCACTCCCACACCGGCCGAGCACCCTCCTAATCACGCCCCCCATGCCCCCAATCTCACCGTCGCTGCCACCGGTGCCTGCGCTACGCACCTGGTGTTGTCGAGCTCTTCCCGAGCACGGCACTTCTCATTTTGCAGCATCCGCTCACACTCCACCTTGTGCTCGCCTAACCGTGCCTTCATCGCCACCAGTTCTGCCTGAGACAGCTCCGCACGCTCATGATGTTGCTCCAGAGAATTGGCTGTCGAAAGGGATACAAAACCACGGCGATGAAGACAGTATAGCCACCAGTGACAGCAGGTGGAGAAAGAGCAGTAAGCACCAAGAGGAAGAGTAACAGCAGCAGGAGTAGTAGCAGAGACTCAGGGCTAAGAGGGATTAGGTACCTCAGACCTATTCACCAGCTTGCATTCAAACAGGGTCAAAAGTTACAATACATGCACACGAAGGACTTAGCGAGAGAGCATTTAGAAAACCCAGTGTAGTCCAACCATGTTAGACAGCGGAAGTGGTCCACGTGTGAAATGTTTCTAGGACTTAGACTCGTTTAAACTCGTAAAAAAAAGTTATTGGTGCATAGTGGTCTACAAAAATTAGCATTCAATGGGTCCGTAGATTTAGAAAGATTGGGAGCACAGGCCCCTACCCACCGGTCTCCTCGAAGCAAGTGTTGGTCTCCTGCAGCCGTTGCTGCAACTCCAGCGCTTCATCCCGCAGGGTGTCCACCTCAGTTTTCTGCACCTCTTGGTTGGCATAGAGGTCACGCACGGTCACACTCAGCTCCGCGGCCTCGGCGCCCAGCCGCTCGGCTTCAATGCCATGCTCTCGTGCCACTTTCTGTGCCACCACCAGGTCGGCCTCAGAGCGCCGCAGCAACTCGTCACACTCCTTGAGCTCCTGCCGGCGGAGGATGGGCAGTATCTATGTTACACATAATTACATGTAACTTGAATATATTCGTAATCCTTTTTATCGCTCACCCAAAATATTGAGAAAATTAAGTGGGCTTGGGCAGGACACATTGCTCAAGGGGATGAAGGATGGTGGAGAATAATAGCACAGTGTCAGCCTGGGAATAGAGCGATGGAATCTGATTGAGTGCAGGTACTAGGTGGATTGTTATCATTGCAAGATCGTGAGAGGTTGTGGTGGTGGTTTAAGGAAGGCCTACATCCAGCAATGGATGAAACATGGCAAATTCTGAAAAGAGCTCCAAGGAATTATGTGGATTATCAAGTATTTTCCAGGACACCAATCAATGGCCCCGAATGACAAGGGAGCTAGAGTGTGGGTAGGGGGAGGGTAGGGGGGTGGCTGTTTGCGAGAGTGGAGGCCTCACCTTCTGCAGGACCGCGATGTGCACGACGTGAGCGTCGTACTCTGAGTCGGCGTGCGTGTGCGATGCACGATATTCGGCCAGCTCCATGCGTGCCAGATTCAGAGTCTCCTCGTGCTCATTTCTCAGCTGCTCCTGAAGCCGCTCAGTCCTAAGCGTGAACTCTGCCAGCTCCGATGACGCGGCTTTGGCGTCGTGCACGGAACGCTCCTCGGCCTCCCGCTCACCCCGCCGCGCTGCCTCCAACTCTGCCTGCAGGCTGTTGATGGCCTGCGAGTGCGCCCGTAGCTGCTCACGGACAGATGGGCACAGTGGCACAGGCACGTGTATGCATAGGTGGGCAGCCCCTCATCACAGACACGTGCAGTGTGCAGATGAGGACAGGTAGAGACATACTGACACACGCAGTATGTAGTTGTACAGAGAAATAGAGACAGAGACATGGGCAGGAGGCACACGAAAATAAATAAAAAAAATGACAAACATGCAGAGACATATACATACGGACACAAGCAAGTCACATGTAAAAATTTGGATAAATGTACGGAAAGTCACAGTGCATATGGAGAGACATGTACATAGCCACAGGCACAACATGTACAGGGAGACAACGTAAGCATGCAGAGACACGGGGATCAAGTACAGAGACGCCCATGTGCACATATAGGTGACACGCACACAGACGGATACGCACACATGCAATGGATGCTTTTCAAGATGAAAAGAGAATAAATTTAGATTATATTGTGAACAATACGACCACGGGTAAACACCCGTGGTCGTAACATACCACAATCACGTTTAAATAAAATATAAAATATTTCGAATAATAAAATAAATTCCAAAAATAAAACCATGATATATCAACTATTGGTAAGCATGCATATAACATGGAAACGCTCTGCATCATAACATAATGAAGAAATTCCGAGCACCCAAATGATCGTCTTCAAATGGAGTCAATATTCAGAACAACTCACAATGCCATGTCGGTCATGGGGATGTGTTTTTACTATACTTCCCCATGCTGGTCAGTCCCATACAGGTGTATTAATCAGTAAAACATACTACATGCACATTCTGTGGGGAGATGCTATGATACAAAAATTTTGTTTGATCTGCTTTTTTCATTTTCAACAGTATTAGCATTCAAATTTAGCCAACTCATTACGCTTGGGAACCCGGTTAAATCACTGTGGTTGGGCGGCTGTAATCTGGATTTGATCCTGGCATCTCAGCAGTGCTGGCACAGCATCTCTGACCCCTGGGGCACCCAGCCACCTCCCAGAATGCACTTATTTAATGGCCAATTTCCTTGACTTTCAGATCACACTCTGAATAAAAACTCAACACATTCATCAAAAACGATGCACTCAATAGGGCAGAACATCGAAAAGGCGACGTTTCAGGCAATGGTCCTTTACAGCAATAACCATTGCAGTCTTATTGACGAATATGTTGAGGTTTTGTTATCCCTGCTTGTGCGCCACGGAGCTTCACAACGAAAACACGTTTAATTTTAGCCGCGCTCCGTGCAACAAGGGGACGGGGAGGGGGGTTTGGCGGCAGCCAGGGTACCTCCTCAGAACGGTGGATCTCTAGTTGGTGCAGCATCTCGTGGAGGCTCTTATCCTTCTGGCTCAGGGCGCCACGCAGGGTGTTAAAGTGCGCTCGTGCCCTGCCCAGGTTGGCCCGCAGGTTCGACACCTCCTGAGACAGCTGATGCATTTCGTTCTCCGGCATTGGCAACTGCGACGGGAGCAAGGGCACATGGCATGGGCACGTTAGCTCCTCCCAGTGTAAATCCTGCCTTCATTTGCATCGTGACGGACGCCATTTGACATGGATGGTGGAGACAACACCATGGCACATGGCAAGTGAAGTTCCTCATAGGCAGGTAGACACACATCGGACAGATACGCTGACACCCATACACCCACGCAAGACAACACGATTCCTCACACAGCCTAAACACCGTGGTAGAACGCGCAGCAGCGTTGGTCTCAGAAACTCACCCACCGCCATCTCTGTTTACATTCGCTCAGCCAATTAGAGTGACGAACGCTCTGGGACAACCAGCAACTAACATCCGCGATTCAATTATGACGATGTATGGTCACGAGTACATTAAAATGTCGAAAATTTTGTCAATGTTGTTACAATCTTTGTTATTCAGTATTATCACAGTACGCTTTGAGTCACGCAGCGCTCGCCAGTTTTTAAAAGACACCCTGGTCCGCCGACGTGTTTGCTCTTCCTTGGTCTCTCTTTGCCTTGTTTTCATATTTTTAGTGAGCATCTTAGCCCCAAAATGTCTGGAAAGAGGCCTGCAAATGTGTTAGTGCTGGAAATGAGACCAACAGGTCAAGGAAAAGTATCACTTAGAATGGTAACATGCAAGTGATAAGGCCGGTCGAGGTGGGTGAGCATCAGGCGAGTACATTACATAATACTTATTGATAATAAAAAATGTATATTTTTTTGATACAATGTTTACCATCTGCTTTATTACTGTAATTAAATTGCGCTGATACTGACACCCCAATGAAGCCCTCATTTATTGTTCATGAGAGACAACGCTGTTGGGAAAGCATCCCCATATGTACAATGGTATAATAACCCTTTAAGCGCTGATTCGATGAATACCTTTATTATGATGCTCACTTCTCCACCTACGCATCTTGAGCGCTAAACGAGGACTGCCTTTATTAATTCCATACAGGTTTGCAGCGGTGGCCTCCACTGCAGCCTCGCTTTGACTCCGCTCTCTTGCCAAGTACAACTCTGCCATCAAAACGCACCTCCACTGTTGACAAATTCAGTGTCTCCTGTGTGGCTTTCAACTGTGGTATGCTGAAGGATCTCATTGATGCTCTTGCCGACCCAGAGAAATAAACACAGGCCACCTCGCAGTGACAAGAAGTCCATGCGGTGATGACGTAACAATTAATCACGTAGACATTGCACTACCAGTATTATTCATAATAAAGGTTTTTGGGTTAGATCGCGTTATTATAATTGTGTCGCAACCCTCCACCACCCGACACGGCCAATCAGTAGAAAATGTGTCACGTTAACAAAACGCCAATTAGTTACTTCTTCAGCCCACCGGTGTTTCAAGAGTAAATCCACAACATTTAGCATTTGAGTACGACGTTTCGCTGGTAATTACATCCAGCATCTTCGGGCGATTTGCCAGAATATTGAAGCCACCCACCTGCTTCCCGTCTTAAACAGTGCAGGATGACGTCATCATCGTTGAACCCCATCAGGTTTTCAGATCAGAAGCGGAGGTGTGGGGGGTTATTGTAATTGTATAATAGATTAGCAATCATATTTTTTGGGTCGGCATCCTTTTTCCTGATGCCGACCGCTTGTGTTGCGATCGAAACGTCGTCGGTTTTTTGTTACTTTTTATTTTCTTTGAAGATATTTACGTGACTTTATCGAAAGACCCAAAGAATATGAATTCTTGCAGTCACGAAAGCTTTAAGGGGCCGTCCATAAATGACGTCACGCACATCGGGGGGAGGGGGGTTTGAGAAATGTGACGTCACATCAAAATGCGCAACTTTAAGGGAGGGGGAGTAAAAATCTGCCAAAATCGCGTGACGTCGTTTATCGATGGCCCCTAAGTCAAGATTAGTAATGTAAATACAAGTGAAACGTCGTACTCAAATTCTAAATGTTGTGGATTCACTCTTCAAACACACCGGTGGGCTGAAGTAACTAATTGGCGTTTTGTTAACGTGACACATTTTTACTGATTGGCCGTGTCGGGTGGTGGAGGGTTGCGACACATTTATAATAACGCGATCTCACCCAAAAACCGATATGAATGACGTAACATAAATTACAGTGGTGACGTCATTGGCTCCACCCATGTGGGCGGAGCCAACCCTATATGGGCGGAGTCTACGGCTCGTCCTTATCGCGTCACCAAATACCACGTGACCCCCAGGCACAGCTGCTGGACAACGGCAGTTGGCCCGAGATGCTGTCACCATGGCAACGCAAACAAGGACCACCTTGCCCAGAGAAAGCTCCTTCCGACTAAAATCCTTGATGAAACTCTCAATCTGTGATATTAAACTATGAACCTCCTTACCTACGTATCAAGCGTTCAATTTTAAAGTTTAACTTAAATAACAGAAAAAAAAATCGATATTTTTTTTCTCGATGTGATCACGGTATTTATTTCGTATAACTCCGATACCGCTGAAAGGCAAGAGGTGGCGCCACTCACCTCCACTGTTGACGAATTCGGAGTCTCCAGCGTCGCTTGCAACTGCTGCGCTCTCTTGAAGAACCTCATAGTTCCTGTTGGGGGCGCAAGAGATAGAAGCAGCCGCTCAGCTCGCTCGCCCTGTCTTAGTGACGTCAAAGCCGGAGGTGACGTCATTGGCCCCGCCTACTGTGGGCGGAGCCAGAGCCCGTGAACCCCGCCCCCTCAGACACCCAATGGGGGCAGAGGAAGCTCCCTGCGACTTGAGACTCGGAGCCTCCTCGCCACGTGTCGAGAGTTCAATGTCGCAGTGAAATTCACTGACGAGGCGACTGTCTCTGGTCTTGGTGTGCTCCTTTGACTGTCGGTGTTTTGCCGTCTTGCCCAAGATTGGATATGATGTTGACAAATTACAGGGAGGTATGTGCTGCACAGTTTGTTTTTGCACTACATATTTATTCGTGACTTGATGACATTTTCTCAATCATTACTCAAGTATCCTTTCATCTTCTTGGTTCTTTCGGTAAAGTCACGTAGAAGGGAGATAATAAAATAATAAAACATAATAAAATAATACAATTCTCACAGTGAGAATGTGTGATAAATAAAACATAATAAAATAATACAATTCTCACAGTGAGAATGTGTGATAAATAAAACAATAAAATAATACAATTCTCACAGTGAGAATTGTATTATTTTATTATCTCCCTTCTACATGACTTTACCTAAAGAACCAAGAAGATGAATCCCTGCAGTCACGAAAGCTTTAAATCGAAATTCAAGTATCATTTGTTACATTTTGTTGTTGATGCAACCGGCTGACCCGCCCCTTCTGGGCGTGTGTGAAAGAGGACGTCAAGCTCATGAGATCCCTCCGGGATAAATACGCGCACGCGTGTAGGTAGATGTAGCAGACACGAATACTTGACGATAATTCCAGATGTATGAAGTATTTTATTCAATGTTTTGTCACAAATCAAACATCGAGCATAAGCAACAAATATAACACTCCTGAGACGGGCACCTCCCTTACTGACCTCACCTCGTCTTCACCCCTCACCTCATCCTCCTATCCTGTAAGTAGCAGACACGTACAATCTGTTTTTTTTCATATAAAAATGTCATTTTGTGTCTCTGCCTGTCTGTGAGTGTTCACGCGCTTGCGAGGGATTTGGCTCTCAAACGGTGGGGTTCTCGTAAACAAAAATTAGCCAGGTACCACGCCAGAAGCCCCGTGCTTGGCATAGGCGATTCCCTTTTCACGCCCGTCACCTTAAAATTAGTTCAGTTAGCGTCGTTTGCCGATTTTTCTTTATTTTAAGAGAAAGTTTCGCGATTATTTATTGATTTCGCTTCGCCGCGCGCGGGCTGACAACGCAGCCAGCTGCACTTGCGCACAACGCGCACGAGGTGACCCCCCAGCAGCAATCCGCACGCGCCGTCGCCAACGGTCAGGCGCACACTTTTGTATTATGTGCATTTATACAAGACGTAAGTCGCACACAATAGTACTATAAGCATGAGTGTACACTTGGCACTGATCACATGGGTTGCCCCTAGCAACGCGCACACGATCGGCACGAATTTTAATTTGCCTTAAACATGCAGCAAAAACACACGGAACACGTAAATTATTCACAGTGCGATGTCCTCTTCACCCCACACCACCCCAATGATACCCCAATGCGCCCTGAAACTACTATAGAGCCCCTACATATTATTCTTCTAGCGCTTACATGCCATTATTGTAGCGCGGCCGGAGGGAGCGGCCCAGCCCCCAGCCTGCCAAGGTCACACCTCCGCGGACTGGGAAATCTAGGCGAGGCCGGGGCTCTGCACGGGACTAGGCCTCACTACGGCACTCTGTCTGCTTACTACTTTGTGCTATAGATTCGATATATACTGCTATACAGTCAGCATGTACTACTGTAGTGCTAGCAGGTAACCACCACAGTAACTATACACTGCTGTAATCATAGCAGGTACCACCACAGTCAGTATACACAGCTGTAATCATAGCAGGTACCACTACAGTCACTATGCACTGCTGTAATAATAGCAGGTACCACCACTGTCGCTTGCCCAGCTGTAATCATAGCAGGTTACACCACAGTATGCACTGCTGTAGTTAAAGCAGCTACCACCACTGTATGCACTGCTGTAATCATACCAGCTACCACCACAGTCAGTATCACTGCTGTAATCATAGCAGGTACCTTGTGGATTGACAGATGCACAGATGAATATGATAGCTGATGAATGAATGAGTTTACAGGTGGACAGCAAATGAATGAACAAGATTCTTTATCGCCATTGAAAAAAAACTAACATTGTAATCAATCACCCTATACGCCTGCTGAACCAACGTATCCTACAACAGCATACGAGTGTGTTTCATACATTACCTGGGTGTTTGTTTCTTATGTATGATCGGTATGCGTTCTACGCACGATCCATATGTGATATCAAACAACATATTTGCCGGCTTTCCGAATGATCTTCACGTGGTTCACGCATGATCTCTATGTTTCACACGTGTTCTGTGTGGGTGGCCGGGACCATCCTCGGCCGCCTTTGTCACTCGAGTTGCGATGTGTTCATTGCACCAGATACTCATTTAAAGCCGACCTCTGGAGATCCAGGACCGGTTCAGATTATCGCCACTGGTGATGGTGGCCGTAAGCGGGAATCGGGTCATTGGATTCATCATAGTGCAGCTTTATAAACCCACACACTCACAGACAGGACTGCAATTCATCCACCTCGCGCATCTGTGCCAGGAACTTCCAATCGTGGAGCGACGCACGAATTAAGAGGCGCGAATGAAGAGACCCGACTTCCCATCGGGACATGATGGCTGGCAGGCGGTTGAAGCTATCCCGCAGGAAGCGAGCGCAGGTAACGCTCACCTGAGCGTCGCGAGGCATGCCCCGGAGGTGGTATCACGTGGGACGATGCATGTGCGTCCAAGTCATAGCCCTTTCACGAATCCGTTGCTGTATGGGGACCTCCTCACCGCCACGACCTAGTGGATCGTTGACCATACTTCATGCTGGTCGGTGCGGGTTGGTTGCAGGCGTGGAAAGCGGGGCACTATGCAAGGGTTCATGTTGCTGTACTGCCCGTTTGCTGACCACGCAATCGCCGAGCCATGCGACAGCGCCCCCGGTTTGCCACGTGCAGCTCTCGTAGACGATGACAACAAACACGCACCCTGCTCTATGAAGCCTGACAGTGGTCATGATGATGGCGGTGGTCGTGGTTCGTGTGGTACCTCCCCATCAGATTAACAAAAACTTAACATTTTTTTATTTTACCCGGTAAAGCTCAATGAGCTATATAGGTGTTTCTCAGAAGCTACCTGGCAATCACAAATGATAGCTCAACGAAGTGGCTTATCACGTGGATATGTATTGCAGCCTCGATATCACAGCCAAATACAAACCCTCTGCGGGTAACCATGAGCCCGGGCAGCAGGGGATGAAGTGGGCAGATGGTCAGGGGCCAAGGAGCAAGGGGAGGATGGAGAAGGGCAGCGGGGAGTGGGTCAGTGGCGCGGAATGTTCTAGTGATGCAAATGTTGACTGATTTTTATTGAATACAACTAGAACAATTTACAAGTGTGCAATCATCGATATGATGTTGATTATAATGTTTAACGATAATTATATTGAGATTAGGATATGCAGGATATAGTGATGATAATGCTAATGTCTTTACGCATGGTGATGGTAGGGAACTATCAATCTGGTGATGGCTGGGGAAGTTGAAGATGGTGATGATAGTGCTCCTGCTAAGTAGTGGTACTTTAGATGATGATTACGATGCTGCGACTATTGCTGTAGCTGCTGAAATAATAATGATGCTGCATCTGCTGCTGACAATGATGATGCCCCTCTCCACCCACCTTCGTCCACCCCCACAGGTTCCGAGGAGGAGCGCCGCGTGGTGGTGTAAGCACTCAGCCTGCTGAAGCGCGGGAGTGCAGAGAGGCGACCCCACGAGGTGGAGACAGGAGGGACAGGGTCCTCCTGGGGGGACAAAGCGAGCGGCGTCCTGGCGGGGTCGAGAGGGCAGGAGACGCAGCGGATATTGGCAGGGTTCTGGATGTACGCTCCATTGTAAACTCCGATGAGCACCTGATTGTATCCCCCGACGGGGACCCTATTGGGGCCCCAATGGGCAGGGACCCGGGTGGGGACCCACTACCCCCCGAGGTGACAGTGCCAGTTCTTGAGGAGACTGCGCTGGGCTGGGAATTATCGGCCGAGGTGCGCGTGGCGAAAACAAGCACGTGACACCGCGTGAGCGTGCGGGCCACGAGGCCACTTACACGGGCGCCAACCTGGGCGGGTTTGAAGAGGAGGAGGCCCATCCTGGAGCTGGGACCGCACGATGGTGAGACGGAAGGATGGAGATGGGGAGGGAGAGAATGAGGGCAATTATATGAGTATTATAGTTAAGTGCACATGTGTGCATGCGTGTTTATGTACCGTCCCGGCCTTCATAGATGCTTGCTAACTGCACTTGCCCCAACAGTTTGTTTGAAGGCTCTTACGAGGGAATGTTTGTCTTTGTTGTCCGACACAGAGCGGCGCGTGCTGGTGCGCGTGCCCGCGAGCGAGTACCTGCACCTGGCCGTGGACCACTTCGCACTCGTGCTGGTGGCGTGTGCGCGCGTGCTCGACATGGTCGCCGAGATCGCGCGCGTGCACGTGACCCGTGTGCGCTCCCCACGCTTGCACGTGAGTGGCACATTACAACAGCATCAACAATAACAACAGCAGCAACAACTATACGTCTCAAAATTTATTTTGGGTATCATAAATCCTCCTCCACCCGACACAGTGGTGCGATGGTAGGTGGTGGTGTGTTTATGATGGCATGATGATGGTATAATGTTAGATGATGCTGTGATGTAAGATGTATTTTGAACTTATTTCGCAATGTACGTAGACACCAGTGCTTAACGAAGGTGTTTATGCGATGGCATGATGGTTTAATGATGGTGTGATGATGATGGCATGATAATGGTGTGGTGGTAATTGATGGTGTGATGATGAAAATGCGATGTTAAATTAAAGTGTGATCATGATGATGGTGGTAATGTGATGTTCGAAGCTGTGTTTGTGTGATGGTGTGATAATAGTGCGATGTTCGATGATAGTGTCAGATGATGATAGTGGTTTCATGCTAGAAGCTGTGCTTGTGATTGCCTGATAATGGTGCAGTGGTAGATGGTATGATATCCCCCCACAGGTGATGGAGGGGACCCACGTGGGTCGCGATCTCATCTCCGAGCTCTGCTTCACGAACCCCGTGGCACACGCCCTGCACCGCGTGCGCGTCCGCGTGGAGGGAGCCGGCGTGCACGCGCCGGGCAACATACTCGTCGGGTATGGTGCCGTCGTCACAAGTTCACGATCATAACAAGATCAAATGGAAATAGACGATGTTTCGGGCAACTGCCCTTGTTCATAGCACACGTGTTATCGATTGAACCAAACACATTTGCTATGAAGACAGATCATCACCCGAAACGTCCGTTATTATATAATTTTCCTTTTAAGACCAGGATGTTATTGACGATTGAGAGTTTTAATTTTTGCGTGCATATGCACCACTGCTAACGCAATCTCACAATACTGTCCATGTGTTTAGTGACCATTATACCTGATGCTCACGCTGCTGCTGATGACACGTGCCCGTATGTGTCTTTCGCTTCACAATAGTGTAGCTGTGAGCGTGATTTGTTATGCACCCGCGATCCAGTTCTGGGCCTCCCCTAGGTCGATTCAGCCTTAAATAACTATCTTGGGCAGTGTGTGCAAGCTTCAGCCCTGGGGGTACAATAGGCGGTCAGACGTGCTGCTGCCCACACCACCCGCTCGTGTGCCTATCCCGGCCTTAACAGGTGCTCGCAGTACTTGCCCCAACAGTTTGCCGTAGGTTATACAGGGGACCTTTGTCTTTGTGTCTGTCTCGGCGCAGCGACGTGGAGGGGCACGGCCGCGTGCGCGTGCCCGTGGTTCTCAAGCGCCCCGGGGAGCTCACGCTGATCGCGAGCCTCGACTGCACGGAGCTGCTGCAGGTGCACGGGGGAGCCACCTTCCAGTGTGAGCCCTGAGACTTCAGCATCACCACCATCATCAACATCATGAGTCAACCACCATCATCAGCATCAAGAGTGGTACCACCATGATCGTGATCGAGTGAACTATCATGAGCGTGTTCATCATCAAAGTCGCACTCATTACACACAAAGTGCTTGCCACAAATATACCACAAATTCCTTGCTGATCTCGTCAAGGAGCATAAACCATCACGAGACCTCTGGTCATCCTTGCAGTGGCTTTTGGATAGCCATCAAACAAAGACGGTCACTGCATCGCACACTTTCAGATCCGCTTGTGTGGCCGTCTGGAGCACTCTTTCTTCCGATATTAGGAAGCCCCTGAAGCTATTCACTGTTAAATGTTTAGTTTGTTGTCCTTCCCCGCACCTCCGACTAGCGCGGTTGGCTACGCACGGTGCGAAAGAAGTTCAACGTACATGTCAATCACCACGATCGTGTTCATCATCATAAGATGATCATTATCAGAATCATCAAATCGAATGGGGACCAAAAATCGTGACGGGATGTGGGTGGTGGAGAATAATCATTACAGAGCCGATGTCATGGACAGACTTCAGGCGCGATCGACAAGAACGCTACCGCCGTAACGTCACTGGACTGCGGGTACTCGTGAAGAAGGGGAATGACGTTGTTGATGTCGCCTGTAGAAGTTGAACTCATTCAGAGACAGTATTCGTGATTAACAATCCCAGATCTTCGTGGCCAGTGGCGTTTACTTAGCCACGCGCATCGCCATCGCTTGCTTCCTTCTTCCAGTTCCCGCATTTGTTGGATACGACACTGCACCTCCGATGTCTTTCGATGGTAACAGTCTGGCTCAAGGTCTTCTTATTTTTCCTATTTCATATAGATTTATATAGCGGCTTATTCCAAAGTGCTTTACAACAATTATAACATAAGATGATGGGTTATTAAAGGGGCTGGTGTAGTTATGGTGATCGGACATGTGTGAGTGGTTAAGGAGGGGTAGCTATAGGGGTGGATACAGGGGTTGGGGTAGTGATAGGGGTTGGGGTAGTGATAGGGGTAGAGATAGGGGTAATGATAGGGGGTGGGGTAATGATAGGGGTGGTGATAGGGTTTGGGGTAATGATAGGGGTAGTGATAGGGGTTGGGGTAGTGATAGGGGGGTGGGGGCTGGAAGTAGCAGCAGGATGGACTCGGACAGGGGTCATCATCCAACATAACAAGAATATTTTTTTTTATTCGGAAAACAACCCCCTCCCTCAATATTTCAAGAGCTGCAATGCACGTCAATATGAGAGGGTGGGTCCTAAATAAATAAACAATGTTACAAAGCTGTCCCTAAAGAGGCACATGCGGCTCCAGAGCCGCAGGTTGCCAAGCCCTGGTGTCGGGAGAAGAGATGGGTTGTAGGGGAGGAGCGGAAGCAGGTCAGTGAGGATGATTGCTTCATGATCGCCCAACTTCTGGGTGCCACTCCAATGCCCGGCGTGGTAAATTGCCCTCGTTCTCCACCCGTGTCCCGCCCATCTCAACCTCCTCCTCCTGATCCTTCCCACAACACTTTCCTGCCACGTGCTATTCCCAACCTTCAAGTTGCTTACCCTATTTTCCTCCATTCTACGCACGTGTCCCATCCACCACAGCATCAATGCCCCTTCACAGTTACCACTTGTAATAGAGATGACTGCACATTATATATCGCTAAGCATTAAAGCGACAAGAATTGAAGCTGTAAACAATTAATGTAATTATTTTCTCTAACGCTGGCCACACCCATTACGATAAATCACGAACAACTCCAAGCAGCAGAAACAACATTATGTTCCACGCAATTATAATCGATTATCTTCATTATAGGCGAGCGGTGGCAGAGCGGTTTGTGTGCTGCGCTACTAAACGTGCCGAGCTAAGCAGGCGGTCGCGGTGACAAAAACTCCCGTGTAGCCTTTAACAGATTGTTGGTACAAGTCCGGTTAGTGAGCACCTTTGAACGCCCACACAGCACGAGGGGTGGTGTGGCCAACAACCACGCTCGGCCGCCTTTGTCTCCCCAGTGCTGGTATTTCCACATCACAACGGGTACTCCTTTAAGGCTGAGATAACCTGAGCGCAGTGCCATTGCTGTTCCAGTAATTTACCTCCGTTCAGTTTGTCGCACCTTCTCCATGCGCTAATGCCCCCTCGCCGCTCAATTGCTGTGCACGAAGAGTCCGCACTAGAGAGGGGCGAGAGACCAAGTGCGGGCACCTTTGGAGATTTTTTTGTTGTTGCTGTTGAAGGCGAACAATATGGCAATCTCTTCCTCTTGACGAGCTCGACACAATGCGCTAATCAAAGTTTCAAAGTTTAGTTTCTTCTGCGCATTCGTCCTCGCTGTGCTTGTACGACATGACAACAGAATAATCCGCGCCAGGTGGGTTGTGGCATTTGTGCGCGGTGGGATGGAGTCGCAATTATACGTCTTTTTTTACTTCTGATTTTTACTTCCGTTTATTTGGCACCCTGAGGTCCCGCCATAAGGTTCATTTGACCGCATTAACAAGTCTTTTGCATAAAAATTGCACTTGTGAGCAGCACATCACGATGAGCCCCACACTGCTGGTGTGGCAGAGACCCCATGCTCGCAGGGACAGGGGGCAGGGTATATTGCTTGCCCCCTCAGATATTAGTCTTCATGGGCGCCCATGGCTACCTGGCATGGACCCCTCTATTGGTTACTTGCCACGTGCTCGACGAGAGCGGTGAAATCTCGTCTCACTGAGACGCCGCGTGGCGATTGAGCCACACCGGTGCGGGTCGACGAGTCTAACCGTACCGCCACTCCCCACCAACTCCCGGCCGCCGCTTGAACCACACTCAGCGCATTCAACAAACTCCAAGTGGCACTTTTTATAAAAAAGACTGGTGGCTGTGAAAAAAACTGCTGCAGCCAATCACAGTTGGTTTTGAGGGATCACGTTGTGGGGGGGGGGGGGGTGGTGCTGGGTGATGGGAGGAGACAAGGGGCGCTATGTAACTGTCCGTGTACGAGGGTCAGGATCGCCACCTCTGATGTACACAACCTGGGAAGATCATGGGAAGAAGAATCTCTCAAAACCCGAAGAGGGGAGAACCACATGGAAAAGCATTGTCTTGAGCAATGCGACCTCAATAAAACTAGGACAGGTGGACATTTGAATTTGCACAAGGGGACCAACGGGTTGGAGTCATGTTCTTCGTATGGCTGACATTGATGTAGAGCAAAAACAACATTGCATTGAGGTGGTTGAGCCAGATAATTACGTCATGAGTAGAGGAGTGGTGCATCGCTGTGATGATGCCTCCTTTGAATTTGTGAATCGGACATTGAATTGTCATGCTCCATAGTCTGGTTCAGGCTTTGAGTTAGGGATAGGGCTACAGATTCGCTCCAGAAATATTTTTCCGAGCGCCAGTGTTTGGCACTACATGTAGGGCAGTTCAACATATTAGGCAAACATCACAATTTCAGCATCATCCTAATTTTATATATTTATATGGGATATCATTATGAAGGTAATTATTGCTTTATAAATTAATTCGATCTAAATCTCTTGGTTGAAATACTTTGTCCAAGGTGAAGTAACTGTTCGATTATGGGAATGAGTATCCATGTCTGCCTGAGATCGTGGAACCGCTCTCCAGCGCCACCGCTCACATCAGGGGACGTAGGAACGATGATGGTTCCTGGTTCCACTGTGGCCAAATAGTTTATTCATGGACATCTCCTCCTCCTCGCCGTCCTAAATTGCAACCACCATCACCACCTCCACAACCTTGTGGTTGTCGCCCCCTACTCAAGCTGTGCAAACCCCTTGGAGGGCTGCCATTTCCCAAGGAACACAGAACTCTGCCTCACATGTGGTGTCTAGAAGCTACGCAATAGCCACACTGTGGACTTAGCCCTTAGCGTGGGAAATGTGTGTGTCCTAGACACTCAAAAGCATTGAGACGAGGCGATAATACTAAATATAAACCTTTATTATTAAAACGCAATGCCTGTAAGGAAGAAGGGGAGGTGCTGGTGGGGGTGGTGGTGATAATCTATATGTAACGGACGTATGTGACGCAGGAGAAGTTGATGAAGGCAACACGTATTTATTACAATAAAATTTTATACAGCAGAGTAACGACTGTAACACTCGAAGAGGTTTCGGCCTCTTCACCCGGTCTATTAGAGGAAGTGTTCCCCAGCTAACGCTCCCCGTTAACTCCTTACTCCCTCTATCCCAGACCCTTCCTCATTGTAGGCTAGCTAACCTGGCCCAG